TGATTTTCAAAGCAATGGATGTCTTACAAAGAAGCATGCAAGACTTTTTTCCTTTACTGAATTTCAGGATATGGAGTTATATGACTGCCAATTCTTCCTCTTGACAACATCCATACCTCAGTAACTAAAACCTCAGAATCAGTGCTGGTCAGTTGAGGTTCCTTAGTAGAGTACTGTTAAAGTCACATTGAATTTTCCAGACTGGTGAATATAGAGAAGCTAAGTATTCAGAGTTATTATTGTTGCATCACTCTTACGCACCTAAAAACTAAAGAGGATGGAAAAGATTTTACAAAAAAACATGTTCTGACCATATCTGTTGGGGTAGAAAAGCATCTTCCTCCACTCACATTCTGTTTATCAGACTTTAAGTGACAAGTGTGAATTAGAAACAAATGCAGGACAGGTATTCAAATGTAAATGTTAAGGTAAAGTCCCCGTATCTTAGATTGCATTTTTTATTTCACGGAGAAAAAGACAACCAACCGAAGACGTCTCAACAATATAAACTAAGTAGGTATGCAAATATAACATCATAGATAATTATGTAACACTGTTAATCTGGTTGGATAGGCGCGAGGATTTACTGTAAGTTAAATACTGAGAGCTAGGTGCATGCAAAAGAAGCCATCTGAAGCCATCTGCTGACAGAAGGATTTTTGAGATGGCATCAGGATCACATTTGGCAATGACATTGTTTCTCTTTCATTTCAGCACTCCTCTCTACATACATTAATAAGTAGCTTTTGTTTCATCACCTTTCTCTTCTGCTCCAATGACTCGGATCTCATCATTTCCAATGATGACAATCCAAATGTAGAAGTATGGATTGTACTTAGGCTTAATTGCCTGAATTATGAGTAGTGTTACAATCTCAAGTAATCTGAATGGACTATAAATTGAGGAGCTTGATCTTCAGATCTTTAGTCTATCACTAACATTCCTCCACAGTGCCAGGCAAAGTGCTTAAGCTCTTTGTGATAGTTTTTCCCTATCTCTAAGGTTCTTTGTGGTTTAGAGATGAAAGAAGCAACTACTGCAGTTGTATCTCAAGGCAGAATGGGGATCCTACATTACAGGGTGGTGTGCCCTATGAGAAACAAACATTTCCAAAACTGAAGAAACAGACAATAATTCTTAAGAGGCTCAACCAGCAGTTAAGAGGATTTGTATCTCTAAGCAGGGATTTACTAAACAAAATGAGTATGTATAAACAAGACCAGCACTCGAACAGGACTGACTATGTAGTGCATTTCAGTTATTAAAGACTTACTCTTTCTTTTTCTGTACTTGTAATACAAGGTGACACCAAGGGTGGAGCTGTAACCTCTGTCTGCAGTAAAGAATGGATTGGAAAGTACCTTAGAATTTCAGAGCTTGCCTCCATAGAGATGTTCCCTGTTGTGGCACAAAAAACCCAAACAAATTAAAACCATACCAAGGAGTGATTAGGAAACATCCAGGCCAGTAGTGACGCAAAGACAGCAAGAGAGTTCTTGTGCCAGCTCATATACCTAGAGGACTGCACCACACAGTAGTTACTGTGGCCTAGAAGCCACATTGAACACTGAACCATTTATTTTCTAGCATTTATCTTCCAGGATTAGCCCTTCTCTGTGTGGCACATAAAAAAATGGGAAAGGGTAAAGCAAGAGAATGGCTAAATAGCTTTTCAAAGAACTTCACAAACAGAAATAAAACTTATGACGATGCAGAGCTGCAAGGAGGGAAAATGAAAATTCTAACCTCTAGTAATGACTAAAATAAATTTCTAAACAAAACTAGCAATATAAGCAAGAGTCACCCTATAGTTGTTGTGAATGTATTCAGACAGAAAAGCATTCTGCCCACAGCCTGAAAAGTAACTCTTCCTGTAAGCAAGGTAAATCAAATGATGAAAGCTTACAGTCTGCTTTGTTTTGGTGGTGGACCTTCCCTTCCTTTTACATTACTGAACTAATAATACCTAAAAATCTTAATAAAAGTCTAATGATCTACACTGCTGTGGAGTTTTTAGCTTTGGGATACTTCTGAATCTGTTGATATAAAAGAGGAATTTTTTAGCAAACAAAAGCCAGTGAAAGAGTGTGCTCTTGTGTGCAGACTTCAGAAAAGAAATGGAACTGTTTTCCACTTTGCCAGTCAGATCCAGTAGTGACTGGCAAAGAGAATAATTTGATGCAATTTTTCTACTTTAGCAGACGGCCAGCTTCCTATATACAACTTCAGTGACATCCTGATAGAGACAGCAAGCTTTGGTAGTCACCCTGATGGTCCCAACTGTCCTGAAACTTGGAAAGGCAGGCCCATGAAGGGGAAGATTTCATTCTTGGTGAAGTGGTAAAAACAGTCCACAGGACTCAAGATAGGCACTACCACCACAGAGCCTGCCACCAAGCAACAAGCCAGTTGTTCTTTGACAGCAAGAGAGAGGCCAAGGCAATGCAGTGCCAGTGCCTGCACTGTGAAAATACTGCAGAAGTCTCACATCACTTAAGTGAGCCTTGACAGGCTGCAGGTTCACAGGTCTGCAACACACTGGCATCCACTAATACCCAGAAGAGGCAGAATTAGAGACTCATGAGACAGGGCAGAAATAGTTCAAGATGCTTAATGCTTCTTCCTACATAACAGATTCTGCTGTAAAGATGTCCTATGCTGAAGAGACATATGGATGGGTTTAATTCTGTGGGGGAATAAATACAAAATGCTGCAACTTACATAACAGAAAGACACTAAAACAAAACTCCTTCATGTTTTTCCCTCTTCTAGAAGATGTCTCAAGTCAGTGAAAATCTCGGATGGCAATTGCAAATAAGGCCCTCAACAACTTTGCAGTGACTTCAGTAAGAGTACTTTCCCTCCAGAAAAGAAGGAAACACTTCTTTGATTCTAAATATTCTCATTTAAAGTTCCTCCACATCTCACACCTATGAATGAATTTCACATGGGTAAGCTTAGCAAAGAATCACAACCTTTTACTGGTAGGTGTATTTCATGAAACAAGATCAAAAACATCAACAGTGAACAAACGTGTCTAAGAGGTGCCACTTGAAAATAAGCCTTTGAACTCATTTGACCAAGGCTATTGCTTAAAAAAAAAAATCACACCTGTGTGCAGACAGATAGGCTCTCTTTATCTGGTAAAAACAAGGTGAGGAGACTCATGGGACAGATAATTAATCTCTATTGCTATCTATAGTTTCTTTGTTAACACTGTCTTGGTTGAAGTGTGAAAATATGTTCACACTTTGGAAAATGGGCGATTAGCTAATCAAATAACAATATGAATCTTAGAAACACAGAAATTACTGTAACCCAACACCACTACTTCTGACTATATATGGTTTTAAAAATTTTATAAGAAAAACGTTCTCTCAAACATCCTTCAAGACTATAAGGGAAGTTATAAAGTTATCATACCTTCCCCACGTATGTATACGTAACAATCAGTGCACACATTGTGACCACCATCATCAGTCTATTTCCAATACTTCACCCAGTATTTCACCCTCAGGGAATTAATTGCAGGGAGTATTTTCTTTGTATAGACAAATTCCAAGAAACTGTGAAGAGATTACATGAGCAGCACTGAATAACCAGGGGCACTCAGCAGTAGCCACTGCTCTGTTAGGGCCCTGTTAAGTAGCAGTTGTGTGTATTAAGCAGCACTGGTCTCACACCAGTGCCCCAGGAGATGTCCCAATTAACCAAGTTTACCATAAGTGTCTCAGTTAAATGAAGCATATGGTACAAACTTGTATCAAAGAGCTACATGGCAAATGCCCCACACATTTCAGCACAACTTCACAGGGCTGCCCAAGTTGTGCAAGATTCATATTAAAAAAGATCTGACTAAACACAAATTGCATACTCCAGATGTCATTTCAAAACTCTCTCCTGGGGTAAGATACAAGTTAGACCTCATGTTTAAGGAAGACTCACTTTACACTTTTTTTCTTTTTTTTTTTAATTAAACTATCCCTTTATACCCTTGAATGCTCCTACAGCATGGAGCTCATTTTCACAGGCACTTCCACATTAATGAAGGAAGCAATTCTTTTCTCTATATAAGTAGATGATGTTATTAACATCAAGACTGCATATAAAATTATGAAGAACATGTATTTACAAAGTTTTGCTTTTATATCTGTGCTACTAAAATTCTTGATGTGGCACTTAACACTTCACGTCTCTCACACAGTAACTTTCTCTTTTCTGGTGGCAATTACTCTTCTGCTTCTGTTCACTCAAGCTGCTGTAAGAACATAATTATCCTGTGTCATTGAGTCAGGCATTGTGCCACTTCCTGGGATCACTGCACTGGCTCCCAAGTCAGACACAAGGTTTTATTCCTAATTTAAAGCCCCTTGAGAACAGTTGCTACCTTACTGTCTTATTCCATTCCTCCTCTGCATGTCAGCCTCATTTGCTTATCTGTCAAGATAACACTTTCTCTGATACTTTCTCATTTCTGATCATTTCTGCTAACCCCAAAAGCATGAGACTGTTATCAGACTCTCAGCTGCATATGCCCTCCCTCAAAAATTATTTCTGACCCTCAAATCTACAAAACAAAGTTGTTCTATCAACTTTTTTTTCCTTTGTTCTTATTTTCTCAAGGTGTGTCTTAGTCCCTTTTGCACTTCTTCTTGTCTGTCAGACTTGGAAATAAAACTCCAGAAAGTCCTGTTTCTGCTTTCCAGACCTGCTTCTGAAGAAGCAGCAACAGCAGAGGACAACTTCTCCAAGCTACAAAGCTATTGGACATTTATTTTTGCAGGTACTGTTTCCATGAAAGAAGCAGCAAAGTTCTGGCCTGAAACTTATCAAATTAACACAACACACAGAGCTGACATGTAAGTTCAAAGATCTTCATCAGTAAAAGAAACCTTCAGTTCTAATTTTGCAGGGCATATATAAGATAACAGTAGCCAAGAGTTTAAGAGCAGGAAAATTACTAACTTAAATAATGCCTTTTTTTAAAAGACTCAACTTACTTGGAAAGCATACATTCTACTTCTTTGGCTCCCATGCTGAAAGCTCCTCTTTGTATCATGTGTTTTCTTGTATTTTCTCTTTGTAGATTATATAAGAACTCTTTGCAGATTGGCTGGTATCTTTTTTCTTTAACACTCTTATATTCCTTGCAGAAGTGGCATAGCCAAAATCCCTTAATAAAACAAATACAAATAAATTGACATGATACATTTGCATTGCTTTGTTCAAGCAAAATTCTCAAAACAGTTTATAAACATTAACTGAAGTGGTATAGTTTAAAGTTACAGAAAACAACTGTAATATTCATGTTTTACTCTGAGGAATGAGATCAAACTTGTGGTTAAAAAAAGAAAAGCATAGAGGCACTTAATGGTATAAAGCAGAAATGCTCTAGATCAGTAAGGCCAAAAGCATTCACGTGGAAGATTTTGCCTACATCACGCTCTACTAATTTCTGTGAATGTATCAACACGAAGAACTTGGCTCTTAGTGTGGCCTCAAGTTGAAAAAACATATTTCCTAATAAAGAGACAAAATTTTCAAATAGGGAAAATATTGTCAAGCTGGGGAAAACCTTGAAAGTTTGATGGAAAATCATTTTCCATCAAAATAATAAATAACATGGCATCATCTAAATTCCTCCTACTGAATTTTCTAGACTGCTTATTATCTTCCAGAGGCATACAGTCTGGAAGTTTGGGGAAGGCTCCTGGGTTTCTCACTTCCCTGACAATGCAATGTTTAAAATTCACCTTTCCACTGAACAGAAAGTAACAATGCCAGGTAACGGAGGAAATGCTATATTTGGAAGAATTTTTGCAGCCTCCTGTAAGAGGCTACTGCATAAAATGACTGATTTTTCATATCACTTGTCAGTCTAAAATGTTAAAGATAGGAAAAGAGGGTAGGCTTTCCGAAAATTCTGGCTTGTATTTATTAAAACAAGATCCAAGTTTCAGATATGTCTTCTTACTCCTCATTTCTCTTAATTTCTTGGGAATCATGTTCTTGGGTTTTTTAAGTGTATGACAATTTAAGGAAATTTATCACTTTTTAAATTAATTAATTATTTTTTTTGCTCTGTGTTTTGTGTCCCAAAGTGGTTATTCTTGCCTCATGCAAGTAATAACTAAAGGTTGATCAATTCAATATATTGCTGACTCCTAACTAAGAGTTGGAGGTGGGACACTAGATTTCCTGGTTCCTCTGTCAACTGCACAGGAACGTGGTCCCAACAACACTGAGGCATGAGAAAGGACCTCATGTCCAATGACTGGGAAGCCCCTTTTTATGGTCAGAAACCAAGTCATCGATGAAAACAGCCACCAATGAAATTCACATTTGCCACTTTGAGTCCTTGCTGTGGAAGCCTCAGGCACCCCAAGGGCTGGAGGATGTGACACCAGTCCCTGTCAGAGGCTGCACGCAGGCAGACACACACACACAAGCTTCCCTGGGGTTCCCTGGGAACCTGGTGCTCAGCACCCAGGCCTGTCAGGAGCCCAGTTCCAGGATCCTCAGTACAAGAGAGCATGGAGCTCCTGTGGTGGATCCAGCGGAGGGCAATGAGCATGAGTGGGGCACTGGAGCATCTCTCTTATGAGGAAAGGCTGAAGGAGCTGGGCCTGTTCAGTCTCGAGAAGAAACATCTGCCAGGGGACCTTATCAATGTATATTAGATATCTAAAGTGGGAGTGCCAAGAGGATGGAGCCGGGCTCTGCTTGGTGGTGCCGAAGAGCAGGACTAGAGACAACAAGCAGAATCTGATGCCCAGGAAACTCCATCTGAAACATGAGGAAGGATTTTTTTTACTGTGCGGGTGACCACGCACCGGAACGGCGTGCCCAGAGATGGTGTGGAGTGACCCCCACCACAGACACTCCAGAACGATGGGGACGCAATCCTCCACGACGACTCTGTTTGCGCAGGTAGGTTGCACAAGATGACCCACTGCGGCCCCGTTTCAACCTGACCCATTCTGTGATTTTGTGATCCCTCGGTGACTCACGGAGTATGAGCCCACCCACGGCCAGGAAATCACCGCGGCGGCGGCTCAGTCGC